GGCTCAGGTCATGATCCCAGGGTCCTGGGATCGAGCCCTGCATCGGGCTCCCTGCTCGGCAGGAAGCCTGCTTCCCCCTCCCACTCCCCCCCTGCTTGTGTTCCCTCTCTCACTGTGTCTCTATCAAAAAAATAAATAAAATCTTTAATAAAAAAAATAAAAACAGTACTTTAAGAACACCTTCCTAAAACAAACGAGCAAAAAGATCTGAAACTATCTATTTTCCTGAGAATATCTACCCAGAACAATCAAAATCAAGATATATTCTGGTAAAATCAATAAACTTCGAAAAAGATGAAATTGTCTGGCCATCTAGACAAAAAAGACCAAGTGATTTTTTAATATAAAGACAATTAGAAGTGTCTTTAGCCTTTTCAACAACACTACATGCCAGAATAAAATGGAGTAATATGTTTAAGACACTCAAGAAAAAAAAGTATGCCACTCATTTTCAAATCCAGATGAACAGACTCTCCAGTATAAGAAGCACAACTGACCACTGGCACACAAGAGCTCAGAGAACGTTAATCCTATGGCCTCTAGAGATCAAGCTTCAGAAACTAAAACGATGAGAGAGACAGCCCCACAAGGACCAGGGGTGAACAGTAACGTACAGTTACATGTAGAACTGAGAATAAATTCGAGTGTTAAAACAGAGTGTATGGCATGTAATGGTTATATAATCTGATGATGAAGATACAACTATTTTTCAAATGGAGGAAGAATGGGAAAAGCATACGCAAAAATAATCATTTTCAATAATCTTCCTACAGTATTATGATTCTGAGACTGTTTTAATGTAAGCTGGAATAAAGCAAATGAGTAATTATAAAATATTCTAATTCTAGCATTCCCCTTGTCCTTAAGAATCAGATTTCTTGACATAGAAGGAGAAAGAGATGTGAAACAGAAGTTAAATAAAACCTCTGTGGTCTTGAATGTGAATTGGAAATACCAGTATGAACTCCATCCACTTAAAATAAGGTCTAGAAACAATGACCGTCCTAGTAGCAAAGAGTATTCCTAAAACCCAGACTGTGTTTTTAAAATACTACTTCCTACTAAAAGAAATCAGGCTTCTCAGAGAAATGGCTACTTCCAGGTCTGGGGCAGGAAATGTGTAAGATGAATTGGGAACATCTTGTCACATCAGATACCAAAGAAGCTGTAAAAGATAATAAGGTCCACCAAAACCAACTTAAACGGCTCACATTCATCAAAGATGGGGCAATTTTAGCTTCAATTAGGATAAGAACTGCAATGAGTTTCAGTTACCAAATCAAAACACACTGAACTTTCAAAAGGAAATGGTCCCCTATGGAGGATGACAGGGAATCAACTCATTATGAAAACTAGGAAATAAAAAGAGAGAGAGAATCAAGCATTTACTTTATCTTTGGTTAACCAAATGAAGCAGAATGACAGAATGAGAACATCCCCGTTCTGCAGCCCCTAACAAAGTAATGGATCCAGGCACTGAATGTTAACAGTTTCTAACACATAAAATAGAGATGGTTACATTATGTGCCTCTTTATAAAAGAACACAATACCATCCACAGTCATGTCCCTCCTGCAAATTGCACCCCTCTAGATACAACTACCAATATACAGGAAAAACACAGAAATATGTATATCAGCAAAATTCAGATTGCAGACAGCTATATTGAGCCAACAACCCAGGTTGTCCAACAAAAAAACAAGGGAAAAGCGGGGTAAGAGATGGAAAAGGACCTTTCAGATTAAAAGAAACTTAAAAGGGGGGCGCCTGGGTGGCTCAGTCGGTTAAGTGGCTGCCTTCCGCTCAGGTCGTGATCCCAGCGTCCTGGGATCGAGCCTCACGTCAGGCTCCTTGCTCGGCGGAGAGCCTGATTCTCCCTCTCCCTATGCCTGTCTGCCGCTCCCCCTGCTTGAGCTCTCTCTCTCTGTCTCTCTGTCAAATAAATAAAATCTTCAAAAAATAAACAAATAAATAAAAGAAACTTAAAAGGGATTTTGTTTAGAAGAGCAACACTAAACCATAGTGTTTAAGGATGCACGCTATAATGAAAACAAGGAAGTAATTACCATAAAAGTCAGGGTGGTGGCTACTTTTAGGGAGGAAGAAGGTCTGAAAATTAAGATGGGGACACAGAATTTCTGGGGTAGCTGGCAAAGTTTTATTTCTTGACCTGAATGGTAAATACAAGAATATTCTTAAGGATTCATGAACCTAACATTTGTTTTCAGTATCAGTGTTTTATTCTACAATAAAAAAAGGTTCAAATGATTTGCACGCACACACAGCAAAATACACAGAAAAATACTGAAAAGAAATACACCAAAGTGCTAACACTAGAGAGTAGGTTTATAATTTTTATTTTGCTGATCACAATTCTCTGTAGCTTCCAAATTTAGTGTTAGTTGCACAATCAAGAGGGAAAAGATCCCAAATAACAAAGTCAATACTAGCAACTCTTTCTGCCTATGGGTCCTGTCTCCATGCTTTAATAAAATCACCTTTTTGCACCAAAAAACAAAAACAGAAACAAAAACAAAACAAAGTCAATACTAGAACTTACATGATTTGACTTCCAAGTTAGAACCCATTACATAATTTCACAATGCCATCTTTTCCATGCAAAATGTCACTTGTAAATCTAATACGAATCAGATAGTAACAGCTATTGAAAACTAATTTGTAAAACACACAAACATACACAAATAAGTGGCAAGTAAAATTTTTAAGTTCTTATCTCAGTAAATTTGTGGACTGTAATGTCCATTTCCTGATTTTGATATTGTACTACAGTTATGTAATATGTTACCACTGGGGGAAACGGTGAAGGGTACACAGACCTCTCTGTAACATTTTTGCAACTTCCTGTGAATCTGTAATTATTTCAAAATAAAAAGCTCTAAAAAAAAAAAACCCCTCCAAAAAAACCTAGTTGGAAGGTTTATAGGGTCATTATTCCAAAGTAAGACAATATTCTGACTTGATCGAGAGATCACTCCTTTTGCAACATAATTATTATTTTATTCATTTCCGGCCCATAATGCTAGAAATGTGAAGAGCCAACTATTTGATAATACACATTATGTCTTACTTTAAAATATCTAATGTGTTTGGACCTACTCAGAAATCAGAAACATTGTATCTGTCCCCAGAGTTTCCAGCAGTTAATTATTTAAAGTATAATACATAGCTACCTTATTTTAAACTTTTTTTTGGTAGTCCAAAAGCAAACTCAGTCTTTAGTTAATAAAGATGCTCTTTAAAAACCTACTGTCAAAAAAACCCTAAAACAAACACAAAAACCTAATTTCCACCAAGTATATAGGGCTGCCAGAGCTACAAGAGGCCTATCAAAGATACAGCTGCCAGGAGGAGCCTCTAGGTGATCACCAGAAATAATACAAATCCATTCAGTAAAATCCAAACAAAAACACAACAAAAATAACCTTTATATAATAAATGTACACATAGGAACTTGAAAGTACACACGATGTACCTTTTGATAAGGTCTCTTAGGTGATAGGCTGGAATTGCGGCATTCACCACTGCTTTACTGGCAAATATGTGATCAATAATAGCAGAACTGTTTGCCTAAAAAAAGGGAGAAAAGTCTTCCTTTGGTTATTCAATTCATTCTGTATTTACTGAGTACTAGCCACACAGCACTGTACTGTTTGGTAGGTAAAATGCAAGAGAAAACACTCTTCTGAGAGCTTATCATCTTATTGGAGGAGATTATGTGCATAACTGTAAGCTTCGAGGAAGAACTTTTTTCTCTATTCTCAGCACCTAGCACAGTACCTGGCACTGTATATGAATATGTACTAGATAAATGAGTAAGAACAAATATCAAAGCAACCATATAAAAATGTAGTTTAATACAACAAATACAAAGCAACCATATAAAAATGTAGTTTAATACAAAGTGAGAAAATGAATGTGTGCAGGTAGAGTCTGGGGGTCTTGATGAGGAGTCTTTAACTGTTTTCAGATACAAGTAAACTATCAGAGAGAAAGTAATGCAGTATTTAAAAATTGCATCCATCACATTATTCATAATCTAAATCCTATGGAACGTAACTTTTCTGAGTACTATGCTTTCTCAGAATGTGGAAGCGTATACCCAAGTAAAAAGACCTGATACCATCCTTATCACTAAAATTTTCTGAATACTTACTATAGGCCACATGCTATGCTAAGAACTAGGTAGCATTTATTTTTTTAATCTCAATATTTCTGTGAGAAAAATGCTATTATCCTCATTTTACAGAAAGTAAACCATGGTTCAGTAACCCTAAATAACTTAGTTTAAGAGGTGAAGGCAAGATATGAACCCTAGTAGTTTGACCTCAGAGCCCAAACTCATACTCGCTTGGCAATTTTGTCTCCAAGAAGATTATTAAAATATAAAATACTGTTTTTATTTAGAGGGGTGAATACTGGGGATTTCATACACACCATACCTCCAAATTACATACAAAATGCCTGCATGGGACTTAGTTCTGGTCAGCTCAGGGCCAAGCAGATACAGTCCAAAGGTCTCAAAGACAGTCCAAACTAATGTAAGTAATTGATCTGTACTTGGATTAGTGCTGAAGAAAGAATACTTGGCCTCTTGTGTGAAAGTACCAGTGCAGAATAACGATACTAGTTTTACTTGCATGGTAGCATTTTTTGCCAAGCAAGCGTTAGGTACACCCACAAGACAATTAAAGCATTCCTTCCAGGAATACTTCCAGAAACAGATGACTAAGGGCTGACAAGAAAGAAAACTCTACATGGCACAATAGCCATACACAAACTATATATTACTAGATGCTCAAAAAATACTTGTTGCTTAATATCAAAACCAATAATGATTCCTAAACATCGTATTATTTATCAAACCTCTAGCCTAAAGGACACTGATACCATCAAAGCATCTGGGCCCCACAATACGTTTGAAAACATAATATAGTTAATTCCTAAGTTATGATCATACAAAAAGTTTGTTGTTATGTCAGAGATTTGGAATTTAGAACTCATGTTCCCACAGAAACAATGTTATAAGCAGTACTCACTTTACCAGAATAGCTCATATATGGAATATAAATTAATATAAAGCACTGTGGAACTTGGCTAGAATGCTAAACTCTGAATAGGAAGAACAGAATATGGAGCCCAGGTCTGGAACATCCGGTGGTAAGATCTGGAGCAAGTGCCTTACGTATCTGTGCCTCCAGTTTTTCATTTGTAGAAGAATAACCAATACACTCTCTAATGATCCTCACAGAATTGTTAGGAAATTCAATGAGATTGTGCATTAAAATACTTTATAAAGTATTAACTGTAAAGCTTTATGTAAAGATTATTGTAATATTGTAGGATGTAGCATAACTAAATCACTTCTGCTTTTTTGGAAACATGCATTTATTCATTTTATCGAGCACTTATTACACACCAGGCCCCAGGCTAAGATCAGTAAGTACGCAATACTCACTAGCACATCTGTAGCTATGAAAATAAACAATAGCACTTAAGGTACCAAAAATGCAGGAAGAGGAGTATGTCAGAGACGAAGTAAACAGCGGCCCCAATGAGAATCATTATAAACTGAGTACTCTTAAATCAGAATTAAGGACTCCAAAGGAAAGCACTGGTACAGTTTACCTTCCATTCCTGAGATCTGACTGTATGTTTCAGTTTCATTCCTGAGAACATTTCCAGTAAAATGATTCCTAGGCTCCAAAGATCAACAGCTGAGGTACATTCTGTATCACTCTGCAGGCCAGCCTGGGCCAAGCAATTTTGCAGTTCTGCTTCTGGAGCCCGATACCCGTCTGTCTGAATATACTTCACATCCTAAAGAAGATGAGTAAATATTACAACCAATAAGAAACTGTTCACTTTCCTTCCATCGCCACAGTGTATTTACTTCTCTTAAAGTATAATAAACCACTGCCAAACTGAATGCCAAAAAATTTTTAGTCCTTGGCTACCCTAATTATTTGGTTCATTAACTGTGCACTTCTCACAGGCAACACAGGAGCAATCTTCTTTAGTCTCTTGTCTGTTAGGCACTGTTGATAAATAAGGACACTCTGCAAAGAGGTGACAAACCACGGAGAATGAGGGTTTGCCAGAACTGTTACGTGCGTTCTGCCACAAGATAGAGCGCCAGCACTGAAGGCAGCAGTAACAATAATTACCTGTTAATTACCCTACCTAACCCAAACATCCATCCTTTTTTTACATGGTGGCAATGAAATTCTTTTTATTTGCTTCATCCCCAAGCATTTCAGTATTTTAGATAGAAATATCTCTAAGTGTCGACCAAAGCCACCCTGTTAGTAAACTATTTCTTACCTGATTACCTTCTTTGAAGCTAAGTCCAAAGTCAATGAGTTTAAAACATTCATTCTCTGCACTCCACAATATGTTACGTGGTTTGAGGTCTGCATGGACATAACCCTCATGGTGAAGAAAAGCAAGGGCCTCCAGAACATCCCTGGCACAATGCTGTATCATCCACATGGAACAACCCTGATGACTGGAATATAAAAGCAATTCCGAAACACTGACATCCAGGAGTTCAAGCAACAGACAGCGTGATGGCACATTTGGAGAGAAGTGGATTGTAAAGACTCCATACAAAGTCACTAGAAAAAGAAATAAGTTATAATGCTTTAAAAATCAGACTCAGAATAAGTTACAACTAACACAGATAACTGCAGTGCAAATCTGGGATACTCTAGACAAGGATAACTCAGATGAGCATCACGCTTCCACTGTAATTTATTTCTCCCAAAAGTAAGATTTTTTGGCAACTGGGTTATTTTAATGAAACAAGATGAGAAAACCTTCCACAGCTCATTACTAGTCAAAGATATTAAATACGGCACAATAATCAAATTGTATTTCGCTAAGCATTCAGCAGTAGGGTACCAAGCAAAAATGATTAAAAAAAAAAATCCAGGGCGCCTGGGTGGCTCAGTTGGTTAAGC